ACTTGAAGTGCCAATCCGGCCGGGAGACCCAAGAGGCCAAGAGAACTCATGCGGCATATTTGGCGCAACTCTGTCTCGTGGAACTTTGGGTCCAGGCAGGCTCGAGGCGTAGGTCTTACAAGTTGCTATTGGCGTAGGTCTTACAAGTTGCTATTTTCTTGTGTAAGATGAAGGCACACGTTGAAATAGAGTCATAGAGGTCCTGTCAAGACCCAGAAGCTGCTTGGGGCCAAACCATCATTGCGGCTTGAGGAAGGGATGACTGGCAGCATGCTTGGTTTGCTCCTCAGATGTTTGATGTGCAGGAAGCTTGGAGAGTCTGCCCGCCCCAAGTCTGCATTCGGGGCATGCCATCCACGCGTCACATTAGTATGAAAGAGGGTGCTCGGTGATTATGCCATCAAGGCACAGCTGGTTAGACAGCACGTGAATGGATGCCAGAACACAATTGCTAGCCGCTAGCCATGGGCAATTCAGCCCACGCATTTAGCAGGGATGTGTTGTTGCTGTTTAGGTCTCCTGGAAAGAAAATCTGGTGCTGCAAGCACTACCACGTTGGATGTGGAGCCCTCGGATCACAACTGCTGCCGCTTGCCATCCTTTCCATCAGAGTGATGAGGCGAGATTGTTGGGTCTTCCGTGGCCAATTGAGTGGCGTTCAGATAAAATTTAGATGAAAGAACCGTTTGCGAAGGAGTTTGTGTGATGCATTATGTGTGGGGAAGGCTTGCGAAGGCTATTTGGCGTAGGCTCTTGGATTTCCCACAGGCGAAGCAATTCGCGAGGGCTAACTTAGAGTTATCAAAGGCACCGACACAGGTCAAAGTGATGATGGCAAGGGTTCAATTGCAGCCCGCACAACATCCAACAAATGCAACAGAAACACACACAGAACACATCAGAACACCCTGCAGTGTGTCAAAACGACTTTCACCACGAACATTGAAGTATCCACTCACTTGCTGATTCTGTGAGAAATGAGCTCAGCAACTAACTAACTAAATAAGCTGCACAGAACAGAGGCAGGCAGGCAAGCAAGCCAGCAAGCAAGCAAGCACGCACGCACGCAAGCACGCAAGCAAAGGAAGCGGGCAGAGGCTTCAGCACAGTAGTCAACACGACTTTTGAGAGCCGTTCGCCAAGTGAGCTGTGCCCTCTTGAGACCACATTAGCAGTTTCAAGTTTGTAACTGCCAAGGTGGCCCATCTGAAGCACATACGCGGACGAGGGTTGAGAACAAGGATCGGAAGGCGTGGAGACGCATTGAAAGGGGAGAGCGGGGCAGAACTTTTAGAGTAAACACTAGGTCCGCTTGCACCGAAGTGGCAAACCGCTGCATGACCGCATGCCGTTTGCAGATGCTTTTGCATTTACGGCTTCAAGCTTCAGTAGTTGCCATGAATGCAACCCCGCATAACCCTACTATACAATGCACAGGTGCCTGAAGCACCTCCCACTGTGAAGGTTGCTGTGACTAAAGCAGCTCGGCCGCTTTGTGCTAACTTTTTGTCACTGTAACCATGATACCTTCCAGATGGGTTTGCTTTCAATTTGGATGCGAGTTGGCTTGACATGCAAGGAGTGCTGGGGAAATTGCGTCAGTCACGGGAGAGATTCTTTCTCAAGAAGGTTGTGTGCTAAGACTGAGGTTGTCCCTGGCATGCAGGTGCTTCCGGCTTCTGGTATGCATGCACTTCCAGCCTTGCACCGACCTGAGAAGGCGCGCAGCCTTCAAGTTTGCAACAGGATTGTGCGAATTGGGTCAATCCTCGCAATCGAGTTTTGAACATTCCCGCACCCTGGCCCTAGCAGTGACTGCTACCAACGAAGAATTAAGTAACTTGAGAACTTGAGAGCCAGGTGTCACTTAAACGACATGAGTTGCGGACCAAATGTTCTGGAGACCTTTTTTTTGAACCTAGACATGTTCATGATAGTCCAGGGATTGGACAACGAAGTCACGAACAAGATGGAGCCCACGAACCCGAATGCAAACACGTTCAAAAAGCTACATATGTCCAAATGACACTCTTGTAGGACACTCTTGTGGGACACTCTTGTGGGTCACTCTTGTGAGACACTCTTGTGGGACACTCTTACGGGACACTCTTGTGGGACACTCTTGTGGGACACTCTTGTGGGACACTCTTGTGGGACACTCTAGTAGGAAACTCTTGTGGGACACTCTTGTAGGACACTCTTGTGGGATACTCCTGTAGGACACTCTTGTGGGACACTCTTGTGGGGCACTCTTGTGGGACACTGTTGTAGGAAGCTCTTGTGGGGCACTCTTGTAGGACACTCTTGTGGGACACTGTTGCGGGACACTCTTGTGGGACACTCTTATAGGGACACTCATGTGAGCTTCAACAAAATTTGCACCACACCACACGTTTGGAATGATTTCGACCCGTTCTGAGCACACTAGCGACCTACTGCGGACGGTTGCGGACGGTTGCGAACGGCTGCGAACGGCTGCGGACGGTTGCGAACATAGAAGCAACGGGTCGCGAACAAGGCTCTACCCCCAGACCCCCAAGAGTTAAACGAGAACCCTTCGCTACGCATTCGGGAAAAAACAACACACTAAAGATGCTCAAATGAACGGCGCTCGCTCCACAACTCAAACCCTCATTACCCCCTGAACCCGGTGGTTGGCAAGAGATTTGAGTTTCTGTGTTCTTAAGAGGGGAAGTCCAGGGATACCATGCCAAAACAAAATGGAGAACCTCCGGCCTGAACCTGAGGGTGTAAAGTCACAAATGCATTGGGGTGTGTGTGTGTGTGTGCCAGAAAGTCCTTCGCTTGCTGCAGGCACCTAGCGGGTTTTGGCGCCCAATGGAGGCAGGCGGCTTTCAAGTTGTAGTGCGAATAGTTGACAATCTTCCACAGCATATTATATCATCATTGGTTTGCAAACTCAAGGGGTATGATGCTGCTTGTTGAGAGATTTCAGACGAAAGGTCAGCGTTGGCAACCCTCGCCAGGAAAGCAGCAAGGCACTTAGGCAGATGCCCAACTTGTGACATGACCCCTTAGCATCCCTTGGCTCCATACTTCATACGTAGTCTTGAATATCAAGTGCTGCGCCCTTGAGTGGGGAACTGTGCAACTCAAAAAAGTTTTTTCATTTACTGTATAGATGTTGACTATCACCCCCATTTCCGCGAGTTGTGGAGAAACCACTGAGGGGCATCACTTCGTGGACAAAGCCAACCGCCTACCACGACCACTGAGCCTTTCCAGTGTGCTGGGGAGTCTAAAGGTACGCTAGGGATATTTCATAGTTGAAAATTGTTGATGGCAGCCATGCCCGGACTGCAATTATATGTTTAGTTTGCGTGCGTGTTGCTGCAAGCTTGTTCACTGAGCGTCAACTTTGTGACTATTTGGCTGCAAATGTTGGGGTTGTTTGTGCGCAGGTTGGTCGGACAAGCGCCAGGCACCGGAGAAGGGGTTGAAAGATGGCCGACAATGTCAGACAACAAAAAGAAACAGAACCCCCACAAGAAGCGCAAACATGGTGGCAACTGTGACACTGATTCATGGGCCATCGTGGTAGCAGCAGCAGCAGCAACAGCAGCGACAATGAGTACAGTAGCAATATAGTCTAGTCTAGTGGTCAACAGATCGAACAGATGACACATGCAAGGAGTGGTGCTGCTGGCATTATGGCACTGGTGACCTCCTCAACATGGAGCTTTGATGCATTGACTTGATCAGTAAAATGATGTTTCCTGCTTTTCCTGATAAGGTTTCCTTGGTAACTGTAATTACTCTCGATTATATACATAGTATATCATAGTATTACATAGTTATATAATATTATATGTGTCCACGGCCCAGCGCCAAGGTTGCCCACGATGACAATCAGGCTGAAGAAAGCCTGGAGCTCCAGTAGGGAAGATGCGAACAATCAAGATCTCTAGTTTGACGGCCCAGGCTGGGAGGTTTTTTGCAGTGGTCGTTCAACTGGTATTCCTATGACCGCCTGTGTTTCAGAAGACAGTGCCACCTTGTGCAACTAACCCGTCGGTCTAAATGCGTCAATTCGCGTTCGGGAAAGACCCGAGAGCGGACCAAAGTCATTGGACATTGAGCTGCGATGAAAAACCAAATCCAATGGTGAGTCCAATGAAATTGAAAAATGCTGGCCTTATATGGCCTTATCGGCTAGACACATTGGCCACTTTTGAGCAGCCCAATGGTCAAGCACAGTCTCACTGTTGCTTGCGTAAATCTGCAGGCTAACTCTTCCAATTCAGGTTGGACCATGCCAACGTTGCCGAAGCAAGGAGCACAATAGTGAGCCCCGAGGATCAACACAAAAACAGTGAGATGACAGGCTCATGCCCCTGCTTGCGCGCCAGAGATCACCATAACGCTGCCACAATTCGTGAGGTGGCAAAAAGTGTGGAAGGCTCTTTTGAGAGAAAGGACCGTCAACCTTTTGTTTGAACCACTGAGTTTTCTTCAACGGCTCGCAACCAGTCAATGTGTACTGTCGTGAAGATTGGGACACTGTAGAAGCTGTCAGCACCTGGCCAGTACTCATTCAAAATGGGGCCCTGGTAGTGTGGAATCAAGACCTTTGACCTTCTTGGATTGGAATTGCTATTGCGCCTTCAATGCTTGCTGTTTCTCAAGAGTCAAGAGCAAGCACTGCGCAGAATGCTCTCTCAAAGTTCAGGGAGCCAGGCTGGAGTTTAGAGTTTAGTGCAGGACCTTTATTGACCAGCATGATTGTGACCGTTGTTTCCGATTGCCCGGGAACGGAGATAAGCTGAGCGGTGTCAGCGTAGAGTACAGTAAGTTGTAGGTGTTTGTACCTTCAGCTGCATGTGAGACCATTAAACACACTAAACCAATGTAATGAGCCACGAAGCTGGATCCAACCTTTTCTCGGGTGTGGGGGGCGCCCCCACAGCACTTGAAGATGTGTTTGTAATGGACCCGCGTCCATGATGCTGAAGACTGCAATCTTTGTTTTTGCAGGCGTCATGGTGGATATTTTGCCAGGCACGCACTCATGCTGGATGCACCTCACGACATTTCGGGGCACGTGTACGGCCGCGTTCTGGGTGCTACGATAAATAGCAATACACGGCGGTGTGTTTATCACGAAAGCTAGCATCAGCTAGCTGGAGTTGCTCTTGCTTTAGCAAGTCAAGGGCTCGCAGCCTCGAGAATCATGAATCACGTGAAAACTTCACGTGTAGGGGGGGGCCCCCCCCCCGCGGGTTCAACTCCCCCCTGGGACGCTTCCAGTACGTGCTATAGTGCTATGTTTAGGTGGCAGGTGAAGTAGGCCACTGTTTGAGTTTGGAAGGGGGGGCATGAAACATGAAATTTACGCGAAGGTTCAAGGCTTCAATGATGAGCATCACGGGAAGTCAGAAACCAGGCGTATCAGATACACGTGCCTTTGAGCTTCCTTCGGCATCTCAGTGCATATGGCTGACACTTTACTCGACAAAGATGCTCAAACAAACATACATAAACCAGGTGTATGACTTCCCGTGATGCTCATGATGCTGCGTTGCTTTTCTTCAGTCCCTCATTACATATACATGACGATCCAACAGCAGATTCAACAAGCTCACATGTTCATGACATCGACATCGATAGAAGAAACCAAACAAATCATGCAAGCAGCTTTGTTTTGCCTCTGGGACACCTCTTGGGCACCTCTTATGGCATCCACACTGGTTCAACTCCTCCGTGGAGGTTTTGGGATACGGTGCAACAGATTCAACAAGCTCACAGGTTCGTGAACACATCGGATGCATCGAACAGTGTGGCAAAGTCCAGCCACGCTTCCTTAATTATCGGGGACTTCAATTCTAAGGTTGACTGTGTCATTGCTGTTTGTGTGTCTTACATGTTCACAACGTTTTACCTCATGAGCATTTGCCTCACTCCGCTTGATGTCCCACCAGTCCGGATGCACCCCTGCTAGCTTTCGTCACCTACCCTCGGCCTCAAGTATACATATGTATATATATATATATATATTAATTCTTTGTGGTGTGTGCATGTGCTTTACCCTCCTCCTGCAGATGCAACTTCTAGACCATAGCAGTTGGGCACGAGGCTTCGTTTTATCATTTCGTCACCTGACAAGCCTGCTGTTTTGCGCAACTTCAATACATTGATGGGTCAACGTTTGGGGAATGCTGCACATGCTCACGATTCCTCACCTTTAACGCCTTTGAGCCCGATGCTTGACAAGTTGCAGGTGAGGAGCCCGTGAGAGCGAGCCTGAAACCGCTATCTCCTCACAGGCTTGGAGTGATTCCAGCAAGCACCTTGGAACAATGGAAGAACAGCGCCAGAACCAACCAAAACCCAGATCAACTTGCAAAAAGAACTCCGAATTCCAGGTGTCATCAAACAGAGTAGACCGCGGGTTTATATATGTTTTGTCATGTGACGCAGAGGAGCCGTTATTTTTGATACTTGCCGCTGAAGTTGCTACGGCTTGTCGCAGCGCAAACAGTGCCAAATCATGTAGGATCAGAAGAACCGCTGCTGCCCAGGCCTAAGAATGTCCTGCCATTCTTGTGCACATTGGATGCCATACCAGAAGGCATCCTTTGGTCAACTAACTCCTTGCCGTAAGGCGATGAGGATTTCACGGTGTTTTGTTAATGTTTTGTTCATATAATAAGGTCGGGGCTTCCTGCGGCCGGCTGCCATGGGCGACCACACGGCTAGCAAGTGTTTTGCCAACTCTGGTAGGGAAGCACAGGGGCAGGTCAACTTTTGTTGTGACTAAGTCTAAGTCACTGGGCCTCATTGCCATCAAGAAATTATGAGGCACACGTTCGTTCATGCTATTGATTCTTGACCAAGAAAGAGTCCAGCTAAGGCATCTGAGGTACCGCTACCCAATCGTCTTCTCCAAGGCTGGACAAGTGATTTGCAGCGCCCGGGTGCCTGGTTGAGATAAATGCGAGCGTTGGCAAGGTTGCACAGGGTCTCAGGGAGTGAGGGCTATTCAAGGGAGAATTGTTTTGATGGGCTTTGGGCCAGAGAGGTTTTCTTCCCAGATGGATGTAAGCTGTAGGCGTCAACCATCATCAACCTAACTTTGACTGGCATCTTTAGTGTCCAGTCTCTGTGTGTGAATCCATTCAACGATCCCGTCTCAACTAATTACCAGTGAACCCCTTGCACTCACTGGATTGTATGGCCCAGCAAGCATCCAACTTCGCAACGTGAGGCGACCAGCAGCAGTGCGAGCAACCAGTGGATGGGGCCTTGAACGGCCTTGATATCGAACTCGGCTTTGTCGCTTTCACTCAAGTTCCCCTTCCTGACTGCAGTCATGTGTCAGGTGAGTTCCGTCCGCGAGATTCGATTTGTCCGCAAGATTTTGATCAAGACTTTGTTCTCCTCACAGCCGTGCGTTACCCCGCTATGCCGCCGCCACCAGGAGCCAAGAAGATGCCTAGCTTCCAGTTGGTCCAAGCCTTTGAGGTTTACTGGGCTACCCGAAAGGTGTGGCTGAAGGCTCCCCATAGGTCAGCTCGTATCGTTGACTTCTCTTGCATGTTCATGTCGCCACATTTCTGGCACCCGACATCCTTATACATATTACATCATATTACAAAATACAATGTTTGGTCCGATGATGAGTCCACACAGGGACGTTCAAGGCTGCCCCCAACTAAGGAGAGTTCTTCTCATTGGCGGCCAATTCACTGGCAATTTCTGTGCGCGTGAGCTGAAGAAGCAGTTCTACGTTACGGTTGTGGACTGCAAGGAGTACTTTGAATACACTCCCGGGGTCACTTTGGCTGCCTGGTGCTGTCGAGTTGCACACGGCTCGAAGTTTGTGTCGCACGTTTGTTGTGGTTGATTTAGGCTTGAAGCGAGTGACAGTGACAGTCTTTGTTCATCTCGCTGAATTTCAGCAGAGTTGGTTCGGCCCAAGTTCTATACGTGGCTGTTTATGTTTGCATGCTAATGCTCAGGTGCTGCGAGCCTTTGTCCGGCCAGCACATTTGGACTCCCTGACTTTTACTTTGCAACTGGGTCCAATTTATGACTCGATGGACGGATAGAATTTGTGGATTTGACTCTCCCGAGGCAGCCAGTCTACGAACGCAAGATGGGCGTGAAGTTCATTTGGGGAGAGGTGAAGGAGCTGAACGGCGCAAGGAAGACTGCAAGTACCCTTGCGGAAAGTAGATGCCTGGGGCCTGCGGGGATGTGTTCGTTGGGTTGGACCGAGCCACGCGGGTGAAACCGGAAGTGAGGGAACGCAAAGCTAATCGGCTACTTCTTCATGCTTCTATGTTACCACTTCAACAAAGCCATTGCTTCGATGGATTCGTTGTTGTCGTTCTTTGATACCCACATTCATGTGCTCGCCCATTTTCTTCTCATGATTGGTGTCAGCACAGGTGTCAAGACGATGTTCTCGAACAACATCGATGAGAGCCTTGCACCACAATCTAGATGAATGGCGCTTCTTCCCTTTTGCAATGCGTTCTGGCAGTTTGCTTTTGGTGCAGATGTCAACGCATTGTGGCCAAGCGAAGAGCGAAGACTGTCGCTTTCCCACTGGGCCAGAGGTTGGTGGTCATATTCATGCTGAACGGGTTGTTGCATGATTATATATTTACAGCCTTCGGCATGCCGCCGGCCACCAGCTCGAGCCCGCATTGGCAGGCAGCTTAATGATACAATACCCTGCTCAATCATACTTGTTGGTGCATTGGAGGTGCACATTTGGCTGGGTGAGTTTGTTGATGTTTATTTCAAGGTTGTTTCACCATGAAATGGAACAAATCCGAATCAGAGGTTGTCTATTCTGATCCAGCGATCCGAACCGGCATGTCTCAGTCGAATCACCTAAGAGGAACCAAGTGAAACCAACACAAGCAATGCGAACCAAGACTATCCACAAAACATGACCTTGAAAACGATTCTTCTTCCAAACTACTTGGCCGTGTGCATGTTTTCCTTTTCAGATCTTTTTTTCGACCATCTCGAGGGATTGCGACACGCACCAGATATTCTTTTTCACACACAGAAGGCTTCAAAGCGACCGAAGAATTTCTAGATCTTGCATGATTTGCCGTTTTTTCTCCAAACCGTTTGAAATGAAAGACCCAGAATGACATCGAACAACAATACCCTGCTCAATCAGACTTGTGGCTGCATTGGAGTTGCACATTTTGCTGGGAGAGTTTGTTGCTGTGGATGTCAAGCGAAGTCGTTTTACAATGAAATGGAACGAATCCGAATCAGAGGTTGTCTATTCTGATCCAGCGATCGACATGTCTCAGTCCAATGGTTGTCTATTCTGATCCAGCGACCTACTACCTACTACGTACCACCTACTACCTACTACCTACTACTGCTACTAATCCACAAAACACGCCGGCAGGCCGGCGGATTCTCTTGGCATAGGCCCCGTTAATAAACTTTATGAGCCACACATGGTGCCAAAACAAAAACAATGTGTCGAAAGGATTGGCTTTGACTATTGCATCATTTGCTCTGGCTGCAACTTCGGGCCTTTCAAGCGTCTAATCCGCATGTGTGGTGAAGACTGAAGACACATGAACTATTATATACACATGTAATCACATGATGCATGTCTTGTTTTTGTTGGAGAGTTAAGTTGTACACCAGCTTTCTCCAAAGACAGTTGAGTTTGTAAGACCTATTGCCTCGTCAAATTTCGAAGCAGGGGCGCTTCCCTCACCAGGGTAGCTGTGAAGCCAAATTAAGGCCAATGGGCGAGTCCTTGTGGTTTCCAACCGCCTCTCGGTTGTGCTGATCTATATGTGTTTTTTTTACTTATGTCATCTTGTTGTTTCTACATCCCACATGGCGGCTGAGATGTGTTTAAACATTTAACCGGTGCTCCTGGACAAGGGATGGTTTCTGTTGTTTATCAGGCTCCATGCTACAAAGCCATTCAGTCTTGAGGTTCATGAGGAGGCCCGAGGCCATTCAGATTGGAAGCACATCGACGAGCGATACTTGGAGGGAAGGCGTCGCCATGTCCTGGAAGAGTACCATAAACTCACAGATCTCAACAAGCCCCTTGGTCAGCAGCGGCTCTTTGAATTTGCCTTTAATGACGTTTGCGTACGGACTTGGTGCTGTGTTTGAAGCTTTGGAGGGAATGACATTAAGTTTGAGGTCAAAGGCCTTAACAACAATGCATACAAGGGTAGTAATTAGACGGTGTGGAGGATAGGCTGGCGAACCTGGAAGTCCTTGACAGCAGCAAAAGCTAAATCGATCTAAATCGCCACAATCATTGGTTATCAGGCCGTGGCCCGTTGCGCTTTCCGCTTGCTGACGTTGACCCAGCCGCCAAAAAGTAACATCACACAAGTATATAGGTCCTGGTATATAATACAATTACAATCAATTACATTTTAACATATTTTAACCAATCCCACTGCCCAAAAAATTCTAAAGGACCCTAGCGATTGGCTGCAATCCGGACATGTGGCCATTTTTGCCCCGAGGAAACAGGCCACTGTTTTGATTGTGGGCGCTGGTTTCATTGGTGTCGAGTGGGCCACTGAGCTGGATCTTTGGCAAGAAAATATGCCGACCTTTCGTAGAGGACGCGGGGATCCATGTTGCCTCATGCGTCCAAGCATTGCACGCCTTGTACAAATCGGATGGCCTTGCACTTGGTGTTCACATCAAACCAGCCACGCACTACTGAGGAGCATTTCTTCCCTCAGCTGAAGATCACGATCATCGACTTCCTTCCTCGATGCCTGGGACCTTTGCCTGATGGTGCTGCTGACTACTGTTCAGAGCTCCTCAATTGGCAATGAGCTTTTTCGGAGATGGTGTAGCTACAACACATGTAACATGTCGGGGTTTAATGGTTCCCAGTGCTTCCCAGTATGCGCAGCCTGCTAAACGTGCAGCTTACGTGCGCTTACAGTAGTGCATTTGCAGATGTCACAGCTGCAATTCTCATCTAAGGCATCCACGCCGTCGTGAAACCGTAAGTTTGGTGATGATTAACCCAGACAATGCAAGACAGCTGAGTTAATGTTGAGAAGGGCAGACATTCTCATGGGGAAACTACTTGTGACAACTAGTCCGGTACCTCAAGCACCTTTAAGTGTGTTGCCTCTCCACTGTCCAGTTACATGGCAGCCTGCGGCATCAAGGACAGATGGGCGTGCAAAACAGTCGGATGCAGAGTTTGGGTAGGGCGAGGTTGCGTAATTATGTTGGGCCGTGCTGTGGATGAAAGTTATGTTCGGCTTCCAGCCCCTAGCCCAGTTTCTAGGTGCAGGAGCATGACTCTTGGTCTTATCTAAGATGTGCGGGAGGAGTTCTACAATTGCAAGTATGACCCGAAGAATCCAGAGTTCTGGAAGCAAATCGAACTTCCCAATGGTGCTGATGAAATCTACGTGTGCATCGGCGTGAAGGCATCCAACTATTTCATGCCAGCAGAGACGCTCTCTGATAAAGGCCCTGGCGGAGGCGGCTGGATTCATTTCAACAAGCACCTGCAGGCAGGCATGCCGGCGGGTCATTTTTTCTTGTGATCGCTGAAGACAGTCCTTGGCCGCCATGCATCTAAACCGCAGACCGAGCCGCGCCACCAGGGCGGTGGTCCCCACCGACCTGTAAAGCTGTAGGATATTCCTGCGGCAGACTGGCCATCCCTAACCCACGTTGACACTCTCCCCAGCAAACTCCGAAGCTAAACAAACGGCCTCGGCGTGCCTTGGAGAGAGAGAGAGAGAGAGATGAAGTTCAATCCACATTCCCTTCGAGCTTTCTGGTTGCTGAAAGCTCACCGTGTAATTACAATCCGCGTGGAGCTTGTGATTTGTAAGGGCTTTGATTGTGGTCGTGAATACTAGCCGGCTACGGAAGAATCAGTTCAGACTTTGTACCACTTTAAGTTCTTTGTGCCGGGAAAGGTCACCATCACCCTTTGCTGCCTTGAAACCTCGAGTCTCTCCTAAAAAAACGACAGTGGCACTGGGGCTCCGAGTTGTTCCTGATACTACCTGGTGCTAAGCAAGCTATCTCGAGCCCTGGCGGGTCATCCAGAAAAATTGTTTGCTTTCAGGCATTTGATTTGACCTGGGCGGTGCGGCATGTGTCGCTTTCGATGGCCGCGCTGCCCCAGCTTTCCGCAATCCATAGGTATCACAGGATAGGCAAATATGATCAAGTATGTGTAACCCATATTTTGGCATGCAGAGTCCAAGTACAGTAGCATCACGCTCAAGCACCAACCGGGAAGTAGAAGCGCTTGAAGCAAGCCGTACCTGCTGGACAGCCAAGTGTAGGCATCCCTTGACCACCCAAGTAATTATATACCAAAAAATATATATACCCGGCGATTTGTGTTTTATAGAATGCCGAGCCTTTACATCTAAAAAGGCAATTCTTTTTGTGAGGGAACCGTGGATGATGAATAAGGCAAAAGCCTGCGCATTGCATTTTCCAGAGTGGTCATGTTCAATAGGTCATTAGACGTTTAGCATGCCATTTTGCAGAGAAGCTGATGTGGAGTGGAGTGGCTTGAACATGTTGGTGGTGACGCTGGTTTTTGAAAGAGCAAAACATACAAAACTGGACGACGGACCACGGATGGCCCTGGACCGTGGAAGGCAATGTTATGTAGAAGTAAGAGATGTGTATGTGTATAAATCTGAGAGTTTTGTAGCTGCAGTTGCATGTATGCTACAAGATGCTACAAGTATACGTGCAGACGCACGTTTCTAGAGCTGATGTAGTAAGATGATATCTTGTGGACGCCGCCAATCATCTCGCTCCCCAGCGGCACCGAATTTACACCAGTGTGCTTTCCTTCCCCCAATGGCACAGACACGCAAACGCACTTCCCTCGATGGCCGTACAAAACCGCATGGCACAGCGACATCACAGACGGAATTTGGCCACAGTAGGCAAACAGATCAGATACAACAACGTAACATTAAGCGCCGCCAGCCATCCCGCTCCCCAGTGGCATGCCGAATCTACACTAGCATGTTTTCCTTCCAGCGGCACCGAACTTTGGCAACCATTTCGGTGACAGTTGCACACTTAGTTGCCGCCTCCACCTTCGTTTTCGGCGACAGCTAAACACTTTGGTAACCTTCACCGGTTTTCCACGACTGCCACATATTTTTGCAACCTCAACTTCCGGCTTGGTGACAGTTACACTGCACTTTGGCAACCTCCATAGATACACGCTTTGGCAACCTCCACCTCCGTTTTCAACAAAAGTTACACACTTTGGTAGCTTCTACCTTCGTTTTCGACGAGGTCACACACTGGCAACCTCCACCGTCGTTTTCGGCGACAGTTGCACACTTTGGCAATTGCCAGCGTCAATCACTTCGGCAACCAAGTTACCACACAATTGAGCCCTCCGCAGAGGGCTCCCTCCGCCCAAGCCAGAATTCGCATTTCGCCACAAGTTTGAGCTCTCGACGCGCACAATCTCCGCAGAGCGTCGCGTTTCGCAAGCCCTGGCTGGCCAGGCCCCGGCTAAGAAAGAAGAGATAAACAGCCGAGATGTATCACGCACGCGCGAAATCGCGCGAACAAACAGATGTTACACTCTATGTTATAAGTTATAACCCTTACTTTTGCATACGTCACATGTGTTTACTGAGGCAAGACCGCAGCAAGACCCAGCGGTTTGATGTTGCGTATGATTTTACTTGAGCAAGACCCCGGCGAAAGTTATACTTGACTTTGCATATCTTTGCATATGACTTTACTCAAGCAACATCCTGGCGAAAGCTATCCAAGCAAGATCCCAGCACCAAAGCGATGCCAAAGCAAGATCACAGCACCAACGCTAGCGCAGCAGCTGCTCTACACAACCGTACCTGCAAGCTGCAGGTGTACTTCTAGCGTACCTATTGTAGCATACATACAACTGCAGCTGTATATGCTGCACCTCCGTAGCACCAGGTTTAAAAGACCACGCTCGCAAACTGCAGGTGTACTAACAGCATACATACCAATGCGGCTGCATAAGTCCCAAGTGTCTGGCGAAAGCCACGCACGCAAGCTGCAGATGTAGCTTGTAGCATACTCACCAACGCAGCTATATAAGAAGAAACAGCCAGAAAGACATTGACGCAGATGTGTTTTCCAACAAATTTATACAGAAGAACTCTTCGCAACGCCCCCGGGCAAAATGCATTATAATCGCATAGACCCCGAAGAGCTTATATACTTAGTCGGGAAGAATTGTTGTTGTTCTGGTGGGCGGCCACAGCCCCCGCCCCTGCCTGGCAAAGGTGGGACAGCAGCAGGGCAACAGAAGACCAAAGAAGAACTGACTTCCGTCAGGCCCAAACACCCATTGCTCCATCTCTCACGTGCACCTCCGCTAAGTGTCACTGATAGTTCGCACAACCTCTATCTATGTTCCTCCTTTGGGGCGGCCTGTGCCAAAAAAGCAGCTATGGTTCACAGCATATGCCAGAATCCTGGTGCAAAAGCTACATGAACACTTCCCCTGCGCAATGCCGCCAGGCTGTTGCAACTTCTCTTCCAATTTTTTGTTTCCAACGGATTCCAAGCTCAAACTGCCCTTTCATTTTTTCATGTTCATATCTTTTCTTCTTTCATGGCGTGGGGTTGATGCCTGCATTTTGTGCAGGGCGCGTATCTTCCCTGTTCTCTACTGAGCCTTGAACATTCATCGTTTGTCCGCGCTGCTTCTCCCCAACCGTTGATGAGGAGTGTAGCATCCAGAAATGTTCCATTCGTCCTCCTGCGCTCCTCGCACTTCCTCACACCAAACCGAGCGCCTTGATGGCGCGGTAGCTGCACTAGGCGGTGGTGTCGGGCGGGTCGTCAAGACCACATGTTCATCAATCACCCTTCTTTGTGGCACAGGGGAGGGTTCTTGAGGAAAGTTTCCCTTTCCTTCACTCTTTTCCTTTTCCTTTATGACTTGAGTTTTGGCCTCTTTGGCCTGTACTTCCATTCCCTTGGTTCGGCGTGCTCACCTCTGGTGTGGTGACTTGTGGTGCTGCCGAGGCCTGTGGTGCCAATGATGTCGCACCGCTGGCCCCTTCTTCTTCTTCTTCTTCTGCTTCTTCTTCTTCTCCACCCCTTCTCTCATCCTTCTTCTATATTCTACTTCTCTGGTCAAGATGGCAGCGACGATGACGATGGCCAAAGGTCAAGGGGAAGGGCATCAAAAGGAAGATGCACCCCCGGCATGTTGATCCTATGGGTTTGCGTGAAGGAGCAGAAGACCAGTGACTGGGAGCGCCAGAATGAAGCTCACCTTTCTCTCCTTGGGGTCAACCGGAAGGATGGGTTCAGTCTCCAAACTGGAATAAGGCTCATCCTCAAAAATGGCGAGTCCTCAAGTTTCCACCTTTAGGCGTGAGGATCGCCAAAGCAGATGGGGCCCACGATCTCATCCAGGACCACCGTAATGGATTCTCATACGATTCCTGAGTCGTCGCAGCCAGTATCAGGATGTGTATATCAGGGTTGTGCTGCTTGATGATCTCCATCCCCAGAAAGTTCGTTAGTTTTTCCGCGATATATTCAGTGTTGTCTCTTCACATGACGCGCCAAAGGTTTGGCTCAGAATCCAGCGCCTTCAGCTCCCTTGGCAGCTACTTGTGGTCAGCTCGCACAAACCTGTCTGAGGAAACAAGAAAGTCCGTTCAAGTTCAGGATGTGACGGTGCTTCTCTGCATCAAAGTTCCCATGCATCAGAGACGTGAACTCAATTAGAGTTCTCAAGTCCAAAGTACTTCAAGGGAAAAGGGGCATCGTAGGACATCCCCTTCAAAAAATCCCTATACAAGCCCTTCCACATGATCCCTCCAGTGGGGATCGCTGTTCGGCCGCTCACCTTCGTGAGATGCCGAAACAGGGGTAGGGGGCTAAGCCAAAAAGCACCCGCCAAGCGAGGAGCAAGAACGAGAACAGGCACGAGCAAAAACACGTGGCGCCAGGGGAAGTAAAGAACAAACTACCGGGGGAAGCATGAGAGGGTTGCCATCCCACCAACAAGCACTGCACAGGAAAGAGGAAAAAAAGGAGGCGGCGGCGGCACAGCAAGGGCAGCAAATGAGAGTGCCCGAGGACACCGCCAAGCGCCAGTGCATCTCGGTAGTGGGGCTTCAAGACTGCAGGACCACAGCCGCCGCGGAGGCAGCATGGGAAGGGGCGTCCGCCAAAGCAGCGTCAGCACGGCGCTGCAAGGCAGCCCTTCCTCGGAAGCTGCGGATCAACACCGAAGTTTTTTGCAGCATCTCAGAAAACAATGCCGCAGGCTCGACTTGTTCGCGGGCGGCAACCGCGCGGGCAATGGTCTGCAAAACCTTTGCCGCTGAAGGGTCCCAAGCACCTGTCGTCTCAGCCAGCAGGGGGACAAAAGCAAGGCCTTGCTGCTGGCAGCACAAAGCGGTGTCCAAGTGAGCTATTTTCACAGCTGAGTAGGCTGCAGCTGCAGCTCCTCCTTGCCACCCTGCGTCTGCTAAGCTAGCCTGCCGCTGAAAGCCGGTAA